TTATATACGCTGGTGGGCACATGCAATCGCGAGTACAGACTTTAATTAAGCGCCTCTCTCGAGTGATTTACTGGGCTCATATACGATTTAAAATAATTTATGAATTTCTGGAGGTCCGTGGACCAGTATTATGTATATAAAAACTTACAGTGGTTATAACTTTTAAGTTCTGTTAACTGTAGGTAACATTTCAGGTAGGTCCCTGACTCTCGGTTAAGAATTATACACGGTTCGTTAAGCTTAAACAGAAGGAAACAAGTTGGAACGGATGAAACGGTATAATATCTTATTTTTTTGTTTTTTTACCTAACCGGGGACTGATAATTTAATCTAATTTGAAATTTCAAAGGGTATGGCTGTTATTACAGATTTCTTAATGCAAAAATGTCAGGAATAATGAAACTGTATAATTTAGGTAGGTACCTATATAATGCCGTAGGTACACAGTATAATATACACAGTAAAACGGATAGTTTAATGGTCGGAAGGGAGGGGGCAAAAGTGGCAAATCAACACATTTTTTTAAAACATAATTTTTAATATCGTTCATAATGGTTTTAACTTTGAATGTATTATTATGTAATTATCAAACTTGATGAATTTAAATCACAGTAAATTGTATATAATATACGTAGGTATTTATCACGCATATCTGTTGATAAATTTTGACGGAATCCGAAGGTCATACCTATCGTGAACTTCTATATTATAGCGCCACTGACCACTGTTACCGGACCACCGCCTGCAAGACCGGACCAGTAGCTGAAATAGAAGATCACTAGTATGGACCACGCTATAGGCGCCAGGCACGGTGTATATTATGTAATAATATAAAAATCTTATGTGCCATGTGCGTCTGTATATAACTTGTCATCGTCGTGCAGTCAAAATTGCCTTAACATCGTGTTCCGAGAGAGCAATAATTCCATTTTCATTCCGGAAGCTGTGCGCGATGTACACATCCCAACTAGCACCAAAATGTTCATAGGTAGTTTATGAAATGAATATTCATCTTGTTCAAACAGAATATTCATATCTTATTTTTGAATGGTATATCTTTCTTCTATCAGTCTGATAATATAAACCAAAAATGGTCAAATGCGCCACTTTTAATCATTCTATGAATATGCTATCAATCTGCAATATGCTATCAATAGTTTATATCTATTATTCATTGTATATTAATAAATAATAATAGAATATTCAAAGTATATTCAAACGAGAATTACCATAGAATAATATAATAATAATATGAAGAGACTCACCAAATCAATGTACTATAAATATTCATTTCTTATTAAAAATAAATAGATAGTTCATTCAAAATTGACCAATCATGGAATAATATAATATTGATATGAAAATATCAATAAAATGTATGAACTATGAATATTCATTTCATATTATGTCTGAATTGAAATATATAATATACCTAATACATTTTTTATTATGTTATCTATTATTTTTATATGATTTATGATCAGCTCACATTAGTTTTTTAGGAGCTCTAACCATTGTTTTTTTATATAATGCACCTATTCACAACATTCATCCAGGTTTTCAACTTCATCTAGCTACAACTTTTCTTACATACCAAATCTTTGTCTTGCACAAGTAACCTAAATATCTTAATTTCTAAACTTAAATTATATTTTAAGTTCCAAGTATATCTAAGGTACTTCATTACATCAATTTCATCTTACCACACTCCCAATAGTATAAACTTATGAAACTCTGTCTTTACTTATAGGTATTGAATATTACTTTAATAATTAAAAGTATCAACAACTTGATTTAGATTTTAAAAATACAATTTATTTATTATATAAACCTTAATTGGTAGTTAAAAAAAAAAAATGTATAATGTTAACATTAAGTGGCCGACCTGGCTGAACACTTGAAAAAAAAAAAAATTGTTGCCAAAAATCAGTTAGGTAGTAATATCATTTGTTGTGGTCATCTTAAGTCTTTCGCTCGCTTTTGAAAGCCATATACTTGCGGCAACTTCAATGTCCTTGATCGAAGTTTGATTAAATTTAGAAGAAGACTGTATTGCTTCTAAAATAAATTAATTCATAAAATTATAAATAATTTCTAAATAATACTAACAGGTATCATGCATATTAACAATCCCAGTTATCCATTTAAGAGATGAGTGAATCATTCAACATTAATACTTTGTCTTATGCACATATATATAATAATATTATAAATCCTCTCCATATTTAACTCATTACGATTACATTATTGAAATTTAGGTATTAATTTAACCATTATAAAATTTAAAAAAATAATATCATCTCTGTTTAGCTATAGCTATTTTATTTTTTTAAGAAATATATTAGTGTTTAATTTTTTTAGTTAGTTTATAGTTAACCCTCATTATTATAATTTTCTTAAAAATAAAATATTACAAAAAGATAATTATGTTTATTCTCTATCATTGTAATATAATAAATATTATAATAACTTAATTCAATAATATTGAAAGTCGTTTTAGTTTTCAAGCCTACTATACAGTTAATACAAATTATAATTTATTCTTACTTGTAAGCAAAGAAGACAAAATTGTTTTGTTGAAAGGTATTTTGTTTCCTTTGTGCCCTGTGTAGCTATATGATTTGGCATACTCATCCGTAATGATTTTTTTCAATATACGCCTTACTGCTTGTTTATAGTTATCGCCACCAATTTTTGATAACATATTTACCTAAAAAATACATATTTAATTTATAGAATCAATGAAACAATATAATATCTACAATTAGGTATAATTATATATACAACAGTCCACAAAAATAAATAACTATACAATATGTTTATTTACTAATTATTGCAATTACTTACAGTTTGATCATATATAGTGTTGTCGTCTGTTAAAGCTTCTTTAAAAATATTTAATTCATCGTTAGTTGATATTGGGAGCATTTCATATTTTTTTTCAAATTGTTGATTAGATGATGGTGGTGGAACCATCAGAGTTTTTTGATTATCTTGGATGTTACTGACTATCAACATTATGGTGTGCAAGTACTCTCCTTGTTCCCTTTGCCTAGCGTTTAATGTTACTAGTTGTCTGATTATTTGTTTTTGAACTTCTATATAAATTAAACCAATAATGTAATAAAATTAAAAATAAATAATAATATGATCAAATTTGAAATACATATTGCTTGTTTAATTATAAACACATATGATAGTAAAATAAACCAATTTGGTTTTTTTTTGTTTTATAAATTTTATAGTAAATTGATTAATGGAATTTAGAATTTAAAAACTTATTTTATTCAAATGATTTTTGTAAATAAGAGCTCTTATCCTCGAGTATGAAAATATTAACTTTATGTAAATATTAAATAAAAGTATCACTGTTAAGTGGATATCGCACACGAACATGTTGTCTCCGTCTTACACATGTACGACATAGCAAATTTTTGTTCAGTTTTCAATAGTGTGCTGTTAGTTTTGATATTAGAGTAAAAACTATTATCAAACTTTTAGGTAAGAACTACATTATCTCTGTTTTCTAGTTGGTTTTTTAGGAACTTTAATTTTTAAGTGAGTATGTAAAATATTAATATTTGAAAATTATCATAATTCACTTAAAAATCAAAAAATATCATAAAAAACCAACGAGAACACAGATCATTTTCTTACCTTAAAGTTTGATAATAGGTCAATCCACTCTAATATCAAAACTAACAGCACACTATTGAAACTGGTGAACGAAAATTTGCTGTATGTTGTGAGTGTGTAAGACAGAGAGAACACATAGCGGGGACGACGTCCCCTTAAGATATACTTATAATGAACCACAATTACAATTTAAATAAAGCTTACCATTTGGATTTTCAGCAGCATCAGTGGAGTTTTCCATGTTTAAACCTATAAAAACGGTACATTTGTAAAATTATATTACAGAACTGCAATAATTAAAACAAATTTATATTATAAATGTACAAATTGTAGTTATTTGAATTTACTAAATCACCTTTATCTTCAGTATTGGTGTTACTATTACTCATCATTGTAACATCAATTAATGAATTATCACCGATGAAAAAATCATCATTTACAAAATCATCAATAGTTATATTATGATTTGTATTATTACCTGTAAAAACAAATAGTTATGATAATGTAGTGTTTATTAGATATTTAGTGAAAATAAAACAAAATATTTACCAATTTGATCTGATGGAGATCTGATCTCAACATCCGATGTATGACATGGTTTATCCTGTACAGCATTCTCTATCACAGTTAATTCATTTTCACTTGAATGAGTTAAACTATTTTGAACAGGAAGCACTTTCAAGCCGCAGGAATCAATTTCTGAAATTTGGTATACATTAATTATAGGTATATTACATTTTTATACTTAATTTAATTATTTATTAATATAATGAAACTCTTAATGATATTTTTTTTTATTATTTGGTTTTTTAAATAGTTAACTTACTAGAAAATTTAGGGAATTTCGGGAGATCTGAGTCACTGTCACTGCTATTACTATCATTGGTCGATGATGAATAATTTTCACTTTCTTTTATCATTTTTTGTTTTACACTTCTTTTTTTGCGTTTTTTTGTGATTATTTTTGGTGTACATACTTCTGTTTCAGTTGACGATTGTGTAAGAAAATTATTTGCCATTTTTGATGCTTCACTAAAGTTTGTTATAAGTTTTTTACATAACACTTTAATTTTACAATTTGTCCAGGTATTCTTCTTAGGAGGTTTAATGCTATTTTTAATTGCCCAAGTTATTTTTTTTGTTGATATATTGGGCCATAAACACACATTAAAGTTTATCATCCAACTGTTTGGTATAGGTTCAATTGTGTTTTCGTCAATAAACTTTACAACATACCAACCATCAACTGCCATGATTATCTATAACTAATTTTTATATTATATGTATTAAGTTATTATGTACATAATTGTTTTCTTAAAAATACACACACACACACACAGAACATATTATACTCATTTTTACATTCAGTGCTCATAAGTATGCAGTAAAGGAAATACTACAAAACTCGTGTTATATGGTAAACGAACCAATTTATAAAGAATATCTGATATTGGCCAAAATGAATAATTTTCTTGAAGTTGAGTAACTAATAAAATACCAATTAAAGATGACTGAGAAGGGCTAGTATAAAAATCTGCAGTTTTATTGTATTTTTTACCAATCACTATTGGCTGATTTAATACTTTGCTATGTGCAAAATTTGAAATTTCAATAATGGTGCCACATTTTAATCTACAACATGAATTTTGAACTTTTGAACTAAGTTTAAAATTACAAAATACTACCTCTTTATATTGAGGATTGCAGGTATCGTTTAATAAAATACCGTCACTATGTTCTTTTTCTAGTTTAAAATTATTTGGTTTTACTTTGTGGTTAGGTAATATTTGAAGAGACCTTTCTTCAGCCAGTCTCCGTACTAGTTGTGGTAGAATACCATCATGTTTTCTCAACATTTTTTTTATTTTTTGTAAATAGTTCTCAAAGGAAAAATTGCCAAAATTGTTCAAATTGCCAAATTTTCGAGCATCATCAGTTAAATGCAATAAGTTATGAAAGTTATGAGACATAAATTGAGGACCATAAATTAATTTTGTACAAATAACAAAATGTTTTAAAAGTTCTTCCGCATAGTTCGTCATAGTTTGTAAATGTATGTCTGATAATAGTACAGTAATAGCAAAATGAAGAGACAAAAAATGTTTATACTTGTTGTTTTCTAAATTTTTTTTTAAAACAATAACACCGGTGTATAAAATGAACTGCCTAAATTCTGTAGCTTTAAAGCGTTTAGAATCTTTCAAAGGCCTAGGTTTTCTAGCAAATTCAACAGGAATGTAGGGAACTAAATTTGTTAATGATTCCGATATAACCTTTATAATTCTAGAAGGTAATTTGTGAGGAGGTGGTCCAAAACACCAAGTAGAAACAAGTAACTTTTTCACAACTCCAAGACATATTAGATGCATATAGTCTAAAGGGACTTGGGTCACAAGACCTATATTTGGAATTTTTTCTAAAATTGTATGACCTGTATGATGATCCGGATCAGTTTGATTCATAAAATCACTATCGGTTCTTTTATTAAATTCTATTTCAGTAAAACATACTGAATTTATATATTCACCTTCTAAGGTGCACTTCGAACAAGATGAATAACCACTATGGCCTTTTATAAATAAAACACTTGCCTTAGCTACAGCATCAAATAAAAACATGACAATTTTGAAACCATAATGTTTATCATTAATGCTAATGCCATTTGATGTTAATGTTACCGCTTCATCAACAAACTCTTTCAAAAACTCGTTGAAGTCTGATGGTTTATCATAACCATGATAAATTCCAACACAACAAATATTTACAGGCAATATGATATCAATATTATTGACCGAGCATAATATTGGATATACTTGACTGGACGAAGACTTACTAAGAGGTAGCCCATCAATATTTATAGCTACATTAATAACATCAGGAAAATTAGACGAATCAATATTTTTTAATATGCTAGATATGGAATTTTCTAATCCGAAATGATAATATTGTCCAGGACTGACATCACGTAAAATTGTTTGCCTTGGTGTATGTAAAAAAGTTTTTGGATTAATTGGAATATTTTTAAAATCCGGTATTTGCCTTTGAATCATTAATAGTTCTCCTAGGGCTGTGTGAGTTATTTTATTCCTAACTGCCCACTGCCTTAATTGATCAGGGACTGATAATTTTAAAGTTTCTGGTATATTATGTTGGTAATTAGCTTGGTCAGTGTTAATAACATTTTCGATTAATTCAGAACTTTGTTTAGGAATAAATTGAGTAGTATTGGACAATGTTTGGGAGACATAATTGCTATTTTTAATGACCATTTTTGGTGAACTATCAATTATAGTTGTGTTTGAAATATTATTTCCCTCAACTAACAAGTTATTTTCCTGTGATAAATAGCCAACAGACTGACTTTGAAAACTCAAACAAGGAGTAACAACTGGTAAAGCATCTACTGATTTTTGTGTTCTTAAATGATCTAAGCAATCAAGTTGTTGTTTTATATTTCTATTGAATTGGGATTTTGATAAACATATTTTTTTTCTTGAACTATTTCTTGATTCCATGTTGATAAAATCAATTGTTCATTAGACAAGTACCCAACTAAATTAGGTACCTACCTACTAAAAAACAAAATATATTTTTATTTCAAATTTATGAGAGTAGGTATCAAACCCAAAAATAAAAATTGACGTGGTAATAAATAAGAAAAGTTGGTACAATTAAGAACATTCCTATGAAATAAACTATTAAACTAAATATTTGCTATGCATTTTTATTATCAACTAAAATATTGAATGATCTGTAACAACTTACCTTGATTGCGAGTATAATAATTTATTATAATATTGACAATATTATTAGATAATATTCATGCAACAAATTAACACGTTTTTAAACACGAAAAACGTCAGTCGAGTCGTGGTCGCGATTATATTACACGCATAAATTATTAACATCCATTGCAAAAACTATACACTATATGCAGGGAGCAGGGCACTTGTAAACGTAGGTATGTAACAAATTCGCGAGTCGCGACTATAGTCAATCACTTTTTTGTTGAGAATTTATTACCCAGCAGCGCGTGTAAGTACTGTGCAGTCGTGCAGTCTGGACTCTGGAAATGTGTCAATGTCTGATAATGATTAGGATAACGGAGTGCAGATATCGAAAACAATTATTTTGAGAAAACCCATGAGTCATGACGTAATTCTGTATATTGACGATATGCCGACCGTTTTCAATAAGTTAAATATAGGCAATTTCTTTAGTGGGCGTGTGTTTGTCGTGTCGTGTGAAGGTAGTATAACAGTGTGTCAGTGTGTGTACTGTGTGGCTGTATAGTGTAAAGAAATGACTCCCGCACGAGCACGCACATATCACCGTAGACGAGCAATATACTAAAATTATGTTTTGCTGAATATTCATTGATTATTTGTAACAGCATGTCTATAGATTATTTTTCATTAGATATTCATTTAGAGGGCGGTAGCGTGTGTTGTCACCGTCTACATCATAGCAAAAACTGTTATGCGTGGCTTAGAACCACATAGACATATTATGGTGATAGTTAAGACTCCAAATATATATACAATATGGTTCAGAACATTATCTGTGAAATATCGTTTTTATTTTTTTGATATCACTTATACGAAAAAACTTATTATTGTTTCAAAATTCATTATTGTTTGTATTTTTCATCTTGAATAATTTTTTTTGTTGTTTCGATTTTGAAAAAAAAAAACGATATTTTTTACAGCCAAAGTTCTCCTATTTATGTAGTGAAAATTTTGTTTCTTAATTATGACTAGCCTTCTCGGTTCTTTCTCACGCAAAATACTTTTTGCGATGTTTTACTTTAATTGTAAGATGGAGACTACACGCATGCAGGATTAAACAGTTATCACTCTAAGAATATTCATTCATTTTACTAAAACAAATTATGATAAATTGATCAGGAAAATATTATTACAAAAATATTATTCATTTACTATCTGTAACATCATGTCTGTAGGTTATTTTTCAGTAGATATTCATTAAGGATTATACAGTTATCACTCTAAGAGTATTCATACATTTGACTAAAATAAATTATGATAAATTGATTGGGAATATATTATTACAAAATAAATATTCATTTACTATCTGTAACATCATGGCTATAGATTATTCTCCAATTATTATTCTTTTATGAATATTACTTTACTTGGAATAAAATATTTATAATTGTAATGATCTTAAAAAACGATCCATCGCATATCTTCTTCATATTGTTCAGTATTATGAATATAATAATTAAAATGAAGATTGATAGAATATACCATGAATATCTTGTGCTAGTTGGGATTTAATACATTACGTAATAATATAATATAATATATATAATCGTATACGGTTTTATGTCGAAAAGTCAATAATACAAATAAATCACTGTATTATGGTAATGAGGAAAATGTAATAATAATAAAACGTCGAAAGCGCGCTGCTATTTGTACGCCGGAGAGGAGAGGGTGAGCGAGCAAAAAAAAAAAAAAAAGAGCGAATCGCGTATAATATATGTATATAATTATACGGCGTCATGTCACCAGTTACCGGAATTGATAAAATCCTACATCGTTATTGTCGTATAATAATATAATATATATAATAATAATAATAATAATACGTGACCTAGGGGGTAAAAAGCGTATATTATTATATTGTGTTCCGCGCGCCTATAATATACTATACAAAGGGGTTTCGGACCCCTCCTTTCAATCATCCAATCTGCATTTTCTCCGCGTCCTCGACACAGTATTTTTATTATACGCGTATACACTGTGTATACACTCGGCGAGATATATATACGGCGGCAACTCGATTATTTCACACTTCTTACACCGAGAGACCCCATAAATTTGAGCACCGGACGGTTGTAATGAAATATGGCAATCTGTTTTGATACACGAGGGACCCGGCGGAGGTCTCCACGCGCGCGAGCGAGAGCTCTCGTCCACTTATTCATCCATTTAAAGGCCTATAGTGAGCGAGTGTGGGTGCGTGTGTGTGGGTGTGTGGGTGTGTGTGTATGCGTGTTCACCCCAGTGTATGATGCATATTCATCTCTAGAGATTTCGTCAACAATGACACCCCGTTTGGGTACTTGACCAGAAATGAATATCCATTAAACAAGTAGTTCTTTGACATGTTATTACTGACACACATGCGTATGTATATATATATATTATATACATCATATATGTGTATCATATTATATAGTTTTGACGAATGTAACGTTAAATGTGTATATATGCATTATACACGATATGTAATACACACTCAGTGCGAGCGGGGAACTATTGAGCGCGGTGATTTGTCGACGAAATAAAATTAATGTTTGTATGACAACTATATAATATCTGTTGCATCGTCTATGGCGATGAAATCGTTGAGATCCATCGGCTTACGACCTGCGACGATAACCAATTCTGTGTTGTACGCTTTAATATTAACAGTATATTATGACCTAAATTATCAAACTTAAAAGAGTTACAAACATTTATATCATGGGTGTACGCCGCTTTTTTACAACATTCTAATTTGTATACAATATTACAACTTAAAAACACTAATAATTCACTTAAAAATTATTTGAAAATCGTAAAAGTCCATAACGTCCAAACATCGATAATGTTAGTAGCTTTAATTTCGATAACAGGTCACTCTAACCTAGAAATTATTCAAATTTCCTATATCTTTTGGTTTTTCTAACTTCTTGAATTAATATTTTTACGGTCACATAATCAAATAATATTAGATAATAATAATAATAATATTTGTATTTTAATTTTAAGTATAAATACTTATGTAATTTTCGAGTTATAAACCTCAAAGACAACTTAAAACAAAATTCAAGGGAAAAGTAAAAATTCGAGTTATCGAGACTTGACTGTATAACTAGCAGCTGTGGTCTGCAGGTGGCACCGCACGCAGTGCCGTAGTTAGAGGTTGGTGACTTGCGGGAAGTCGCTAAGGGTGCGGTAATGTTTAGGGTACCAAACCACTACATTTTCTAATCGAACAATTGTAAAGCATTAAGTTTTTTGAATCACGTGCGTAAATAAAATTGCAACACAATATTTAGGTACGATCCGAAAAAACATTGTTATGTATTCGTGAAATTTAAAAATTGAATATTATGTAGTTTACATTTTAAAATGTATAATATTATGTATGGATAGGTACTAGCAGAAATAATATAATCAATGAATACTTGTGAACAATATTTTTATAACGGTGGTACAGGGGGGGAGGAAAATAAGAAGTTTTTCCAAAGTTATAATGAAGGTCATCAGCTGCCGGAAGTGCCACCACGATAAAAATATATTTAATATTTTAATATTATAATATATTATTATTATAACAGCTTTTAGGTTTAAAACCGAACGAGTGAAGGAACAAGTGATTGTTATTATTATGTATTAATTTTGACGTAAAGATCATACCACCTTATTTTATGAGTCGTTTCATTCAATAATTTCTCTTCCTTTGAACATTTACAACTATAGCAACGCTAGTTGAAAATATAATAATATTATGATAGTCAACGCACTCTAGTTGTTACCGCGTATAATACGAAAAGAGTACCGCGACGGTTCGTTTGGTTTTTTTATACGTAAAAAATATTACGTAGCTGGTAGGGTACTATTGGATACTATAAATGGGTATTATTTTTTTGGTGAACCTTAGAGGGTGACTGTTCAGTACCAATAACTCTTCCTCTTGACGCAAAAAGAGGGAAACCACGGTTACGACGAAAAACTATTTGCTTACCGCGGTATGATCGAGCGAAGAACCTCGCACTCAGAACGGAATATCAAAGTTAGTTCCAAATCGTCCGAATTATTTCCCCCCAGTTGGTTACGAGAGACATAAAAAAAAAATTGATTCCTTAGTGTTTTTACACCCACAAGTGATTGAAATAATATTATTATGTATCTTGAGTTATTGAATTTTGCCGATGTTTAAAAAAAAAAAAAAATCCAATTGACAACTCTTTGAAATTTGCAACTTACTTGAATCAATTTGGGTGCAGCCTTATACGGTGCAATTTAGTTTGTGCGATTAAATGCTTATTTTCGTGGGTCGGTAGGGGTTGAACTTAGCCAATCGCACTACTGTGCATGGTATAAATGTATAATACAGGAATGTGGACATTGGTGGCCAGTAGGGGTGAGTGAGCTGCAGTTATTGCAAAACAATAAATGAAGATCGGCAAACGGATTACCACAGCCCTACATAATGTGGATCACGAGTCACGATAAATATTAAAAAAGTTTTGCGAGTTTTATTTTACACGTCCACTTACTTATTATATTTATAGAATTAAAATTAATTTTAAACCCATAAAAACATAATATTATTTAATCCACAACTACGGAGAATATAATTTAACTATATATACTGATTTTACTGTAACGGGTTATATATTGTCCGTATTAGATCCATTCATTTTGGATTTTCCAAAAAACTTCGTAAGGGAATAAAGTGCAATTTCCAAAGATCTATTTAATATATAAATGTACCA